CCCCCCACCCCCTTCATTGCTCCTGTCAACTCAAGCTGTCCACATGTACTTTTTATTTCTTTATCTTTGTTTCACTCGCTCGCTCGTTCTCTCTCTTTCTCTGTCTTTCTGATTCTCTTTATCTCACCCTTACTCTGTTCACATCAAGCAATGTTATGTTTGAATTCGATGCAAAAATTGCTTCTTCCCAGTCCTTGCAGAATGGCAGAATGAAAGATGGCGCCGAACTCTGGCAAATAACAAAAAAATTTCAAGAACAGGAACCGTTCGGAGAAATAGAATCTCGATTTCTAGATCTAGATCTAGAGGTCAAGTTTATTTTCCTGAGCATTTGGAGAAATAGTCACTTCGGATTTTAACCCTCGTCCTGCGGGGGACGGGTTTATTTATGTCGCCCGATAAGCCTATTTCGGCACCTCGTCTACGTTCTGGTCCCGAATCAGTGTAGCCCTAGGATCAGCGCACGGGCATCATCTTACGTGAAATTCGGGTCCTGAGTCGGATCCCCATTCACGCAGGTCAAGTGTGTGTGCGTCAATCTGCTTGAGTTTGAGTGCGTTTGTGGCCTTCTTCTAGAACCGCCTGCGTTGGTTCGTATTCGAGGCATACACGTCTAATTTTAAAAATGCCAAGTCAGTAGCTCTAGATGTTCTTCCAATGAAATTATTTAAAAAATTGACCCACTTAGACATGAGGAGCTCGAAAGGATAGTGAGGAAACAAGACTTCCATTTTTCTATACAAAATCTTTCAAATGAGCTTGATTTTGTACGAAATTATACTACTGATAAAAAATAAGCTTGTTTGATAGTTTGGAATACCATGGCATTGTGCAGGTACAAAGAACTATAAGTCATAATAAGTAGACTCACTTCAGCCATCAGAACTTTCGATAAACGATGTGCAGATTAAGCTTGATATTTTACACACGGCAACACGGCGTTTTATTTAGCACTGGCACTAATTGCAACGGGGCGTTTTATTTAGCACTGGCGCTAATCGCAACGCGGCGATGCAAATAGGCACACTTCCTATTTTCATCATCGATTAACACACTCCAACGGTATTCATGGCGAAAACACACGTTTCCCGGCGCACGCCAGTACACCAACAGTACACACTGAGGGCCACCTCTATTCTCACCCGGAGTGAGAATAGTGCAGGCGAGTCTTGTGGCCATTCTCACCCGGTGCGCGTTCACCAAATTTTGCGTTCACCCTAAACCATAGAATTCTACACTGTGAGGAAAAATTGTAGAATTCTGTGAATCTGTGCCGTGAACAAACGTTCCATTACAACTGTAGCCTACTAAAAGCGTACAATTTTGTCTGTGGGCAGTGGAGAGAGAGAGAGAAAGAGAGAGAGGAGTAGCGCGAGAATTTCCGGGCAAAACAAAATGGCGACCCGCGTAGTTCGGCTCGATTCGAAAAGTTAAATAGCCGTAGCATCTTTGTAGACAACCAAATTAATTTACTTTTGTGTTTTAACATCATTTTTTAACTTTGTTTTGGTCAATTTGATCGTCCACACCGATAGACAGTATTCAGAAAGAGACAGAGAGAGAAAGAAGAGGGGAGGAGTTGATCTTGCGAGAACTTCCGGGCGGGTGAGAATAGCCACTTTCACACACTGAGTGACCCCGGCGGCCTGCCTGGCACGTCCGACATAGACAAGAGTTAAAACAAGAACTAAAGACAATGTCAAAGAGAACTCAGAAAGTGATTGACAAAGTTTGTCAACAAACGGTCAAATTTGGTACTATGGACTATGGCTATGGTTGCAGCTATGAAAGTAGTGAAAGCTCCTGTCTCTAGGAAAGTGACTGCCACGACGTGTCAACAGATAAATGTGGTAACCTTGTTGTAAAACTGAACGAAGTGAAGAAAGTGCCAGTCTTGGAATCTCAGCCTGAGCCCGAGTCTGAGGCCTGGATGAGGCCTGAGCAGTCACCACACACAGTCACACTCACGACTCACAGCCATCAGAGTCAGAGTATTCAAAGACATTTTTTCTCTGCACCATACCGTTTCAGAAACCTCATATCAAGGATAACCTTTCAAAGTATACACAATGGGATAACAGGGGCTCTAGATCTAGATGAAATCAAAGGTATGCGTATCATGTAAAGTGGGTGGCATACAACGGTGATACAGACTGGCCACAAATTCAAGGAACTTATCGAAATTAGGTTGTTCTTGGGAAAGCTTCAACCAAAATTCAAAAGAAGCCGACTAGGCCAAAATAACCTCCACTAAATCATATGTATGTCAAAGTGTGTATTTATCAGTGTTACTAAAAAAAACAATCAAAGACTCACCGAAGTGTGAAATATTAAATCTACGGCATAGGCTGAAATCAAAACGCAAGAAAATCGAAGGTGTCAGAAACAAACACTTGAACAGTAATTTACTGCAGTAGATTTATTCGTTTCGTTTAAAACGATCTGCTAATGTTGTGGAATCCTAATTTTAAAAACGGAATACTCTTTTTGCCGACAGCGCCGAAAAATGACGAAAGACATAGTCCGTTCGAGAGGAAAAAATACATTTCAATGCACAAAAGCAATATTGTAAAAAAAGATCAGTTAAAAATAACCATTTTAACAAAATAAGGTATTTTTTTACTTTCCCTCCAGTTTCACACTAAGCTACCAGTTGTCTATTTTCTACTAATTATTGATGCGCTGAACACGAATATCAACTTCATTTCCGTCGCAAATTAATGGTTTTTGAAATATTTGATTGTTTTTAACCGAGATAGACATGCTTTGGACCAATCGGGGGGTTCCAGGGGGGCCTGCCCCACTGGGGTAAAAGAAAATCTGGGGGGTTACAGGGGGGCATGCCCCCCTGTTTTTACAGCCATAATTTGATATTTTACAGTTAGATTTGAAATTGTCTTGAAAATAATTGATTTGCGACAGTTTTAGTGGCTTTATGTGTGGTCTGCAGCAAACAGTACAGCAGTTTGACCCCTGAAACAGTGCATCTGTGTGCGGGAGTGAAAGTAAAAATTTACCCAAAATAACAACAACAACCATAGCAAACCAGACATAAGTATTTTCTTTATAAAAAGCCAAACACGTGTATCCCTCTCCCCTGGTAGACTTGCATAAAGGCCTACAGGGCCTACACTAATACATGTACCCCCCCCCCCCACCCCCCGTAGACTTGTAACCCCTCCTCTACCCATCCCCCACCCTCATGGGAGGCAGTTTGGTGAAACCAGGCGCTCCTGAAAAGAATCAAAGTGAAGAAACTGGCATTTTTCCACTGTTTTTTAAAATATTTTTATCGAATTTTCTTTCTTTCTTTTTTTGTTGTTGCTCATCACCTTTCATGCCTAACAAAAAAATGTGCTGAGCGCGCTCATATCACCTTCAGCTGCGAGTGCCGTAAAACACTTACCAAAAAAAAAAGAATTATATACCACCACTTCTTGTGGCTGTGACACTCTGTGACAATCACGTCCCCCGCATCAAACTCAAACACGCCCCAGACAATCATATATGACTTAAAAGCGATGCCTATACAATACTAAGAATTGACCTGGCTGTACGAGAGGCATACCTTCAAAAGCAGGCAGTGGTCTCATATTTTTTTTCTTTTTCTTTATTTCTACGAAATAAGATAAGATAAGAGAAGTGGGCGATGGATGTCAGACCCAGTTAGTGATTGCCTCAGGACAGCCACAAGGATCAGCCTTATCGCCGGTTCTGTTCAACATATATACATCCAAAATTGCCAGGATCGGTGTAAGTGGAGCAGGAAGAATCCTAACCTTTGTAGATGATGTGATGGTCTACGGACAAGGTCTTATTATATTTACATAGCCTACTTGTCTTACTTGTCCGCTGTGTTGGGGTCACTGCAGTCGGAACATGTCCATCTCTGCTCTCCCCTCCCCCCTCCCACTCCCCTCTTCAGAATCCATCCCAGAGTCTGTCTACTTAAAGTCTCCATCATAATCTGGTTGGAGATCCGTCGGACTGGTCCGCACAGATGGCTGTGTTTCCCCTCTCCTCTTTGGATCCCCTTCTCCTTCAATCCCCCTAGAGTGTGGGAACCACCATCCGCCCCTATTCTTCCTCAAATTTCCCCTTACATCGGTTAGGACGGTTGGTGGGTCCAGAGTCAAATTCCCTCCCACTTTTGCTCAAGGACAAGGTCGTGATAGGCCAGCGGTTGGACGGAAGCTACAGGACAGGCTGAGCACCAGGTCACAGATTGGTGTGAGGAATACAATGCAGTCATCAATTCAGACAAAGCACAGGTCATCTGGTGCTCACTCAACAACCGTTTTGTGAAAGATCCTACCCCTCCAATTGTGCTTGATCACTTTCTCATAGACAGACAGCATGAGCTGAAGTACCTGAGAATCACTCTGGACAGGACACTTTCGTTCCGAAGACATATTGACAATGTTGCTGTCAGGGCTGAGAAGGGCATCAATGAAGTGAAGACCTTGGCTTCAGCGGGAATTCACCAGAGAGTTCTTTTTCTCCTAATGCAGCTGGTGGTTCTGTCAGTCATAGACTATGGTCTGGGCATCCTCTCTCTGTCCAAGACTCAGATAGACAGGTTGGAGAGAGTACAGAATGCGGCTATGAGGGCCGTTCTGGGTTGCACAAAGGACACCCATGTTGTCTGTATGAGATACATCCTTGACCTGGCCAGCATCAGAGTGAGGCATAAGGTGGCACAGGCAAAGTGTATTTGAATGTTTTGGATGACCCGAGGCACCCTTTGCACGACAACCTAAGCAGCATCAAAGGAAACAGGATTAAACGGGGCAGTTCATGGACGGCAGAAGCCGAAGACTCCTTGAGGAAAGTTTGTGGCATCGATGAAATATGCTGTGGAAAGGAATGGTTTGAACTGAGCCCCGATTGCAGAAGCCTGGCCAATGTTCACATCACTATGGGTCGTGAAAGACGGGAATGACATACGACAGTTAATTGAGGAGCATTCCAAGCCAGAGGACCCAGTGATCTATACGGATGGATCAGTCAGGAGGAGTGAGAGAAGTGGGTGGGGTTTTGTAGAGTACAGTGGGAACAAAAATGTTCATAGCATGTCACGGGCCATAGAAAGAACAACTTCAACCCTGAAAATGGAGATTGAGGCTGAAGCAAGAGCGCTTGGCTGGTTTCAAAATACAAGACCAAGAACTGCCCATCTCATCATTGTCACAGACTCCCAGAGCATCTTGTGAAGGATTGAGAAAGGGCTGCTTCGGAGTGAATGGATGAACCCAATACAACACTCATCACTTAGAGCCATCACGTGGATATTCTGTCCTGGGCACTCTGGAGTGAAGGACAATGAAGAGGCTGATAGGCTGGCAGGCAGTAGTGCCGTGGTTGATGGTGAGGTGAAATTTGACAAAGGAGAAGTGTTGAAGACCCCCGAGGAAAAGTTTCGTGATGAGGAAGACGGGGAGACAGCAGGACACCACGCAATCATTAGGATGCGGAAATTGGGATAGAGAGGGGAGAAGGAAGAAAGGAACGATTATCTGGAAAGGAAAGACGTCGCCATAATCAGACAGCCACTGAAACAATCAGTATGGATACCTTGAGGGCTTTGATGCTGGGGGGAACTGAGCACTTATGGACCTGTCCGGTGTGCAATGACGTTGTTGCCCAGGACAGGTAATACAGGTAAGATAAGGTAAGATGAGATAGGATAAGGTTTTTTATCACAGGGGGAAATTGTTCGTGGCTTTACGAGACCGGTAAAGCTTAGTTTTAGTAGAGGTTTTACGGCGCTCGCAACTGCACAAGTCATATGAGCGCCAGAAGATTAGTGGTGTTACAAGAGAGTAACAAACATAAAAAAGAAGAAGGGGAGATAAGGATGATAGATGTTTCATGGGAAAGAAGAAGCAAACCACACCAGAGCACCCGCCAACCACCCACAGAACGGTTTTTAAAAAAACAAAATAAACCAACAACACATTAACATGAAGATAATAATAGGCCTATACATATAATGCAAACTGTAGTCTCGTCGATACTGCGCAGCCTTTATACACACAAACCAATGGTTTAGAAACGTACCGTATATTTTAAAAAAAACAACAACCTCAGAGTAGGACTAGTAGCGGGTTCGGGATTCGAGCTGCAGGCCCGACGTTGTGTCCTTGGGAAAGGCACTTTATACGAATTTTCCTCACTTTACCCAGGTGGGAATTGGTACCCGGCCATAGACAGCGAAAGATCTTGTCAGTATGGTAGTATTTTAGCGACTATAAAATGGCAGCTTGCATTGTCGGGGTAGATTTATATAATTATGCTTCCCAGGAAGTTGAAATGGTTTCAGAATGCCATCAGGTCTGCTGGGGTAATAATAGTATAGATTATAAAGCGCGTAGAAATTGCGTTGGGCGGGGATTTGGGCTATACAAAATGTTATTTAAGCGTATTGTTGTTGTTGTTGTTGGTTGTTGGTTGTTGGTTGTTGTTGTTGTTGTTGTTGTTGTTGTTGTTGTTGTTGTTGTTGTTGTTGT